CCACCAAAAAAAAAACATAAAAAGCCAAACAAACAAGACCCAAGCTGAGGCCATGCCTTGGAATAGTGAGCACAGGTGAAAGCAGAGCAGTACCTGCTGACTTGGCCCAAGAAGGGGGATTTTCTTCAGGTGTCCCGAAGATGCTGGAGGCCATTTTGTTCTTCCTCACAGGCTGTTCTGTGGGTTCATCAAAGCCTAATGAAAAATTGGATCCACCACCTGGAGGCCGCAAAACCCTAGAGACAATAGCAAATCAATAATTTCAAATTCTACCAAAATATATTTTCCAGCACCTTTCATCTCCTTCACCCTTCGTTCCCACCCTCAGTCCCAAAGAAAGCTGCTAATGAGAACGAGGAATTGACTCACAGTGGTATAAATTCTATTCTGGAGGTTAAGATTCCAAATACTGCTGTGTCATTATTTGTAGTACCAGACAGGTTAGGGTGTCCTTTTAAAAAACAGTAAGAGACTGCCAGGGGGGCTGGGGAGATGGCTCAGTGGAATAAGTGCTTCTCTGGCCAAGCACAAGGTCCCGAGTTCAATCCCGGATTCTGCCCCCCCCCACGACTTATGCCAAGAATGGTGGCACACACCTGCAACCCCAAAAACTTAGGCTGAAGCAGGGGCTAGCGAGATAGCTCAGTGGACTAAGCATCTGCTTAAGCAAGCTCAGGGACCAGGATTCAATCTCTGGCACCACCACGCCACACTGGCCCAACCCCTGCCCCCAGGCACCCTGGGCTGGCCATCAAGGCGGGATGTAGTGGCACACACCTGTAATCCCAGCGCTGAAAATGGGAGGATCACTTCGACTCTGAGCTGCACAATGAGACCCTGTACCAAATATATATTTTTTTTTTAGAAAAGGGGGGAGGCCCTTGGGTCCAGAGAGATAATTCAGTGGTGTAAGTGCCTATCTGGCAAGCACACAGTTCAATACCCAGTACCAAAAAAAAATTAAAGGCTTAATGAACACTGGCCGATGGGCTTAGCTGGCTACATCTACAAAGACATAAAAGAAATCCCTCAATGAATGTAATCAGATGGACTAACGGCCTGGTATGGTGGTACATATCTGCAATCCTAGCACTTGGGAGGCTGAGGTAGGAGTATTGAGATAAACACATGGCCAGCTTGGGCTACATAAGCAAGTTCAAGGCCAGCCCGCAATGCATAGTGAGACCCTATTTCTAAAAAAAAATATTAGTTCAGTACCACAAAAACAAGGAAACAGGGGGCTGGAGAGATGGCTCAGTGGTCTAAAGCACCTACTTGAAACAAGCTTGGCAAAGCACAGGGACCACGGTTCGATCCCCCAGCA